GAGGGCAAATAACAACAACAACAACATGCCTCTAAACATGACCCTGTTTGGAAAGAGAGGTCTTTGTTATGTTCATTAGGCCCTATCTGAGCAGGGTGGGTTCTAAATCTCATCATTTCTGAGTTATAAAAGGAGACACATGCAGGGAGAAGAGGAAGGCAGATGACAGAGACTGATATATCTCCAATGACTGCCGACAGCTACTAGAAACAGACACAGACAAAAAGAAACTTCCTAGAGCTACACCTTAGGTTTGGACTCAGCCTCCTGCACCTGTGGTACATCTGTTATGGCAGCACTAGGCAACTAAGACACTTACCTTTAAATCTTATTTTTAAAAATCTTGCTGACAAGGACACAGGGCATTTTAATTAACGTATTTAGCAAGTATTTGCTGAATAGATATGACGGTCAAGGCACTGTACGTAGGGGATATATGTGTATGTGCATATACGTAGAGAGAGAAGGATCTCTGGTGTCACAGTGATTAAGGCATTTGGCTGCTAACCAAAGGTTGGTGTTTTGAACCCACCAGTCGCTCTGTGAGAGAAAGATACTTCAGTCTGCTTCCGTAAAGATTCACAGCCTTGGAAATCCTATGGGGCAGTTCCATTCTGTCCTATAGGGTCACTCTGAGTATGGATTAACTTGATGGCCGTCAGTTTGGTTTTAGGGTATAGATAGATAGATAGATAGATAGAGATAGAGATAGATAGATAGATATATGGAGAGAGAGAGAGAGATGTATATTATATATAGACATATATATACACACACACACACACACACATATGTATACACACACAGTCCCTGTCTTCATAGAGCTCAGATTCAGGTAGAAGAAACAAATACTAAACAATTCCACAACTGAGCATGTACTTATAATCATAACGAATACTGGGGGAAGTTGTCGTTGTTATTTGCCATCGAGTTGGACCCGACTCATAGCGACTCCTCCTTGGGTTTCCAAGGCAGTACCTATAGAAGTAGATCGCCCAATCTTCCTCCCAAGGAGTGGCTGGTGGGTTTGAACTGCCAGCCTTCTGGTTAGCAGTCAAATGTCTTAGGCACTATGCTACCAGAGCTCCTACTATAGGGAAGAGGTGGAAGATACTATGGTCCTCACAGCAGGGGCACACAACCTCATCTGAAGAGGTCAAGGAAGGGTTTTCTGAGGATATGAGATTTAAGCTGACATTCAAAGAATGAATAAGGATTAGCTATGGAAAAAGGGTGTGAGGGCAAAAGGTAAGGAAGAGCATTCTAAATAAAGGGCAAGGATCAAGGAACTAAAAGAAAGAAAGTAGGGCTGGAAAGCAGAGGGCAAGAGAGTGAGTGACAAGATATGAGGTCAGGGCAAAACTCAGCAAATCACAGTGACCTTACAGCATGTGTTAAGGATATTTTATCTAAAGAGAAGTACACAGCCTCCTTGAGAGAGTCATTGTCCCTTGAATCAAATGTGCCTTAAGAAATAAGATATAAGTACATTTGGATGGCCCCTAAAGTCTTCTACTATTGGCTCTAGCCCAAGGTCCCTGTTCCATTTTTCAGCACATTCTCTAGACCCTGCTCAACACATCCTAGGCTCCAGCGATCCTTTGTATTTACCTGTTGGAAGCAGCTGCGGACACTAGGTTCAATATTACTGCCTCCGAAAGCTGCTACTTCCCCCAGCTGCCGAGGGATCTGGATGGCATCATGGAGTAACAGGCCCAGCTGTCTCTGGTCACACATTTCTGTCGGCCCCGCCACTTCCTTAAAGAGATCTACAAGGAAAAGCAAGGGGTTAACTTTCAGCTGCCTATACTGTTCTTTTCCTTAAAATATGTCTTTAGTTAAGTGGATTTAGTCTGTAGATCAAAAATAGTTTCAGAGGGACAAGAATCAGCAGCATAGTCCCTGGAGTGCCAATGCTCAAGATCAGAGAGTTCATCAATACTGTCTGTAATCAGGAATCTAGTTAAACACACTATGTAAAACAACCTACTACTGTATGCCAATACATTAAAAGAAAAACAACAACAACTAGTTGCCATTGAATTGGTCCCAACTCACAGTGACCCCGTGTGTTTCAGAGTAGAACTAGAATCCACAGAGTCTTCAATGGCTGATTTTTTGGAAGCAAATTGCCAGATCTTTCTTCCCAGGCCTCTCTGGTTAGGCTCAAACTGCCAACCTTGTGGCTAGCAGTTGAGTACATTAGACATTTGCATCACCCGGAGACATTCAGATGTATAAATAAATGAGTTAATACAAATTTCAGTTTTAAATGGTACAAAAATGCCCATGGGTTAATATAATGGAATCAATAAGGATTTTGATGCTTCTTGATAAAGAAAAAGGGTCAAAAATAAAGTGTCAAACACAATTTATCAGAAGAATAAATATACCTTAAAGAGCAAACTTTTAAATTTTAACAGGCTCATTTATCAACTTTTATGTTCCCTCCTAATTTCAATATTCTATTAAACATGTATTTTAGTTTCTATTAAAGATTATTATACTCGAATTTATTTTTATAAGAAACACTAAAAATTACAAGGAAGTGTGTTTCATTGTTTATTTTCAGGAGAACCCCGTTATGAGAAAACCCAATCAGCTCCTCATTCTTTATTAGTTATGAAAAGTATTTTTGCTTTACTTCATGTAATAAAATACATTTGTTCAAATTTAAAGGACTGATTTGAAAAAACTAAGTAAAAATCATACTTTCACATAATTTTTGTTTTCTTATTCTTAAGAAAACACTGATTTATTTCTATTATTCTTCATTTATTAACAGTAGCTCTTCTTTCTAGTATTTGCTTACTTTTTATTTACTATGTGCAACAATTTTAAGATTAAAATGATTACCAGATTTCCTGCAATAACATTAATGTACTTAAGTAAGTTACTTCTGGAGTATGGAGGAATTTTAGATAAAAACAATTCACTTTATTATAAAAACCAATCCTTTTTTCCATAGTTCTAAAACACTAAAAAAAAAAAGTAAATGTTTTTCATGTGAAGTTTTCCAGGAATAGTAGAAAATAGGATAAATATTTATTGGATCATAAAAACCATTTTTGAACATTACCTGATACAAAAATATAAAATCAAAAGATGTCATTAATTTCTTAATGGGAATAATAGTTCTGAAAACCCAGCCAATGAAAAACCAGTGGGTCCTAATGGTCCAATCCCATTGTGCATGGGATCACTATGAGTCCAGGCCAATTGGGTGGCAGCTAACAAAAGCATTGCTAGATCTAGCACCGTCAAGAGTGAGCTTTCAAACAACTGAACCAAGCTCAGTGATACTGACACTGTAATTATAATGAAATATGACTTTAATTATAATATACATAGGGAAAGCAAATTCAATTAAGATAAATGTAATTTTTATTATCATTTGTTTCACATAGTTTAGAGTTCTACTTCGTTTCTTTTCACCTTTTAAAAAATAGACTATCACAGCTAAAAACTACTTATCCAGGATTCTTATTATGATGTTCATCTTAAAGCCATCCCAAGGAAGATACTTATTAGGTGAATACAGAGTTGAAGTATATCTTTAATAATCTCTATGGAGAGGTGCACATTTTCAGTGATACCAACCGTGTGCAATTTTCCTTTTTTTGAGATGAAGACCTATATTACTGTGCCACTATTGAGACAAAACTACTCGTAAAACATTAGGAGAAAAAAGATTCAAGTTAACTTATTCCTAAACTCTTATGCAAGTTCACATTTTGATATTGTAATTAGATACAGAATGCAGTCTCAGGACGTAGAGACTGGGCCAGAGGAAAGTAACAATCAAAAACCCAAATTCCAAGAAATCACATTCTGTAAGAAACACAAGTGGCCATTCAAAAGGATGATGTATAAATGTCTTGTTGATGAGGACAGGAAGCTAACCAGCTCTAAGCTGCAAAGCCAGGATACTGTTTGAACCTAATCAAGGGATATTCTCACGAAGGCACAGAGAGCAAAGGAGGAGTTACAGGGGTGACAGTCAACACTGAAAAACCAGTATTTAGGTGGATACCAACTGACTTGGATGGCGTCTCTGCCACTGAGTCTGAAGAGCAAATTGCCTTCCATATTAATTCTAACAAAGGAAATAATGAAGAAGTAAGTGTTCTAATATCACTGGGGCAATCAAAACTGGAATTGGAATTGCTAAGGACCTCAAACTAAAAACCAAAACAAAACCCCACAACATTTACAGACTCTTAATACTCCCAGTAAAGATTCAGGTTAAATATTTCAACCCAAGAGAGTTCTTATTTAATTAAGTACTAAAATGGCATGGTTAGTGGATTAAATTAAATATCAGATATTCTCATTGCTGGGACTTTTGCTTCCTCTTCCGTAATCTGAAACTTTAATATTGAATTATAGGCAGATTAAGTGTCCTGGCATTCTAGGAAGTGTCACCATTACAGTACAAGAGTGTATGTGTAACTATGTATGCTGAAACACACTCCTCATCAGAAAGGTGACATATTCAGATGTATTTGAGCATGTGTGTGCAGAGAAAAGGCAACGTGTCATTTACACATTGCATTTGGTAGAATTTGTTTTTTGCTGTATTGCTACAGAGCTCAGTTGTAACTCTTTCTTTTGGTGTCAGGTTATTTCCTGCTAATCATCTTAAAAAGAAAGGGAGGAGGGGATCATGAATCAAGGAAAATAGATGAAGTATACATTTTTAAGATTTCTGATTAGAGGTTGATTTTGCATTCGTTTCAGAATACATGCAGCACTGCGATAAAACTGCAATTCTCTTTCAGAGTCCTAATTCTATACGCTTTCGAGAGCACATGAAGACTCAAACTCACAGATCACAAATAACACCCTTTCCAATTGTGGTGTATTGATGCTTTCATTAAATGTTCCCTTCTCAATCACAGAAGTAACTATTTTAGCTTTGACAAATCTTTTGGCAAAAATGCTGGTGAAGACTACTTAGGTTCTGAGTAAACACAATGCCACATGACAAAAGCCTTGTGCAAAACTGTTTTCTGCCTGGCTTACTCCATCAGGGAAACTCACCTCTTGATCCTACAATCAGCTTTTCATTTCACACAAATTCACAGCCCTTTTCACTGACACTGTTGTCAAACTATGTAAGAAAACCAAGCCACCAGCTTCTAGACCTGAATTCAAAATCAAATAACCTTATAGCATCACAGATCATTCACTTTTTTTTAAGGTGTGTATGCTGATACTGAAAGAAGCTCTGGTGGCACAATGCCTAAGACATCTGACTCCTAACCAAAAGGTTGGCGGTTCAAACCCACCAGCCCCTCTGCAGAAGGAAGATGAGACAATCTACTTCTGTAATGATTTACCACCTTGGTAACCTAATCAGGGTTGCTTTGAGTTGGAATTGAGTCAGTGACAGTGGGTTTTTTTAATCCTCATATAGGAGCCCTGGTAGCGCAATGGCTAAGTGCTCAACTGCTAACCAAAAGGCTGCTACTCAGACCTACCCATTGGGTCCACAGCAGAAAGACCTGACAATCTGCTTCTGTAAAGAGAAAACCCTAGAAAACCCAGTGGGGCTGTTCTACTCTGTCACATGGGGTCATTGTGAGTTGAAATGGACTCTACGGCATGTGAAACATCATTCTCAAAACTCACTAAGAACAAGCAGATCAAAAAGACTCTTATTTTCTGTGTCTTTCCATTCATAAATTACCCCATTCCTCTCCCAACATATGTGGGCATATCTGTGAAGAAACATCCCTGGGTAGTGCAAATGGCTAACATGCTTAGCTGTCAACCAAAAGGCTGGAGGTTCAAGTTCACTGATAGGTAACATGGAAGAAAGGCCTGGTGATCCACTTACAAAAAATCAACCATTGAACACTCTCCTTTGGGCAGTTCTACTATGATATATATCCATAAATGGCAAGTGGTTCATTTTTATCTCTAAAGAGTCATCTGGGAATGGAATATGCATGGCAGGATCCAATTACTCATATTTATTGGAAAAAATTCAATCAAATGGTATTTTACAGGACTTAAGGGTTTGGGGACACAGCAGCAATGGCTACCATTTACTCAACACCTGAGTTTCTCAGCTCTTGTCAACATACATCTCTAGTTCTTTGCAAAGAAGGAATGGTTAGCTTCATTCTCCAGGTGAAGAGAACTGCAGAATTTGCTAAATTTCAGCTTCCAAAACCTCTTGACTGGTTGGTATTCCATGGGACCACATAACCTACCCAAAGACACTCCAGTGTAGACCTGAGACTTGAAGGCAGGTCTCTCTGGCTCCTGAGTGCGGACCCCTTCTGAATGCCAAGATGCCCTCATTAACTGACAGCTAAAAGGACACCACTGATTTATTTGGTAGATAAAAACAAATATAAAGAAATTAAACAACACTTGCCACAACACTGTATCATTTTTATTTTGTTACATTTGTAAGATATAATTACCTGAGATGAATGTCGCACTACCACCTATCTGTCAGTTTGTCATACTGTGGTGGTCTGCATGTTGCTGGAAAGTCAGGCCACTGGTATTTCAAATACCAGCAGTGTCACCCATGGTGGACTGAGAGATTAGAAGGGCCTGGCTACCTACTTCCAGACATCAACCAATGAAAACTCTATGGATGGCAGAATATTCTCTGATTTGCTTACTAGGGAAAGACTGATGGCCAGAGAAGGACTTCAAGCTTGGCACAGTGCAGGCTCAGTGAAGGCTGGGAAAACACTCAATTAGAGGGACTGACACAGTGGCCCCAACAAGGGACGCAAACATACCACGGATCACGAAGTGGTGCAGAACCAAGCAACGTGTGTTTCTGTTCTACATGAAGTAACCGTGAGTCAGAGCTGACTGGACTGCAACTAGCAACCACAGTGCCTATAAAGGTTTTAATTGATCTTAATTCTTTTACAGTTTTAAAGTGTACAGAAACAGAAAAAGCTTGGGCTTTAGAGTCAGATAAACCTAGGATCAAATTCTGGCCCCACCACTTACTGGATGGGCAGCCGTGGACTGGATTCTTAACCTATTGGAGTATTAACTGCCTCAGCTGGAAGATGGAAACCACAATCTGTACATAATGGGGAGATGATTTTATGAATTAAATGAGATATGCTTTGTAGCAGGTTCTTACTCCAACAGGACAACTTGCCTCTGGATCCCTAATCAGCCTTTCATTCCCCATAAATCCATAGTCCTTGGCACTGATGCCCTTTGTCCCATTTGGTACATGCATAAAGATTAAAAAAAGTGGGAATTATTATTATCAACAAATCACATAAAGTCAATTCCCAACAAACGATTATCACTATTATTACTAAAAATACTATTGGTATAGGACATGGTCTTACATACATCGGTATTTTTCTTCTAAGAGACCTTTGGAAAGAGACATCAATCCAATCTTCAGACTCTGTACTCTTATTTTTCCAGTGCGACCCCTGAAATTATAAGAACCTCAATGTTAGATATATTTAAAACTGTATAGTGTATTATTTTGAATACCTACTTTCTTGAGAGTAAGCCATTAAAAATAATCTCACCTTAAAGAAAAACTTCAAACTTCATTATTCACCTTTACCTTACCTACACTTCATAATCAATTAATGTGAAACACAATACTGTAATTTCATGACATTTTAATGGTGTGCTTGACCTAGTATGAAAGAATACATAGCCTCAAGTCATATTATAACACAAGAATTAAGACCAAATTAAAGCAAGATGAAAACTGTAATTATAAAGCAGAAAAGATTTCAACTCATAAATAAACTGAAAAACCAAACTCACTGCCATTGAGTCTATTCCAACTCACAGCAACCCCGAAGTAGACTGCCCAGTCTTCCTTCCAAGGACTGGCTGGTGGGTTTAAACCACCAGCCTTCTGGTTAGCAGTCAAATGCCTTAGGCACTCATAAATTACTACTGCAATTATAATATTCAATGTTCTTAAGCAGGTGTGGAATTCTATTTGGGGAAGCATTACATTCTAATTAAATACAAACTGCATTAATTAATCAACACTAGGAAATAGTTTCACATTATGCTCATGAGAGATCATTTCAATTTCACATAGAAGCTGACTTAGAAAAAAATCTATCTTTATAAGCAGAGTTTATTTTTATTCTCTCACTTATCAAGGAATTACTGAGTTGTCTACCAAATGTCCCTCACTGGACGAGGTCCTGGGAATGGGGGAGGAAAACACAGAAACTACAAAAAAGTTAACAAGATATAATCCTTGCTATGGAATAGCACATGTTCCCGAAAAAGAGGCCTTTATTGGGAGCTCTTACTGCCTAAGGCATTTGACTGGTAACGAAAAGGCTGGCGGTTCAAACCCACCAGCCATTCCTCAGAAGGAAGATTGGGCAATCTACCTCCCTAGAGATACTGCCTTAGAAACCCAAGGAGGGGTCGCTATGAGTCAAATCCACTTGAAGGCAGTGAGGTTTTATTTTGTTTTGTTTTTGTTTTTGGTATCTTTGTTATTTCAGACTCAGGTTCATTTTTCAGTTTAGGTATTTATTGTTATTTTCTTATATTTTTTTCAATACACAAGAATGGTACACCTAAAACCTATTACTAAAGGTATGTAAAATTATATTTAATGTCTAGACATGCATGCTCTTCACAATTAGGTAACTTCACTTTGGTTGCTGCCTTAGTTTGTTGCTGTCGAGTCGTACCCAACTCATAGCGACCCCTCCTTGGGTTTCCAAGGCAATATCACTATGGAAGTAGATTGCCCAATCCAACCAACTTATTGAACAGCACTACTGTGTAGGCATACAACATTCAGAACTGACCTTTAAAATAACTATATTCTAAAATTTAATATAAATAAGTCATTATAATCATAATTTATAAATTAATATA